GCTCCCTCTCTTAAGGGAAGCAAAAAGCAGAATATCCAGCGATTCAGAGCATATTAGGCCAGTTTCCTACGGCTTTATGAGACCAGTTTGACTTCTTTCCCCGGGAGATTTTAAAAAACACCCCAAAAGGCCTCAAAATGCGAGCATCGGAGCTAGCGTGTGTGTGAAAAGCGTGGCGGCGAAGGTAACTTACGCGTGGGTTAAATGCGTGGGAAATCCAAATGTTCTTAAACTGCTTCAATTAAGTGTTCTTAAATTCAGGACTCAGCTGCTGAAGTTTCCCACCATGTCTTCTGCTTGCTTTTATACCCGATACTTCCATTCTTTTTAAAGAAAAAGCTATTAGCCTTCAGACTTGTTTTAAAATACTTTGAAAGCTCAGTTACGATTGCAATGTATTGAAATAGCAAGTTGTCAGTACTCTGGTACGTACTAGAGAGTACCAGAGGAGTCACAACGTGCTGTTTTGATAGATCATAATTGTGGTACCAGAGTACTTGCAATTAAGTTTGAAGAATAGAAATTAACAAAAAAAACTTTCCCTGGCCACAGTTGCTCCTTTTGGACCACGTTTTATTGTTTGTGCCATTTTGGCTGGAATAAAAATCCTTTCGCTGGAAATCTCAACAGCTGGGAAACAGTGTGGCCAAGTGTTGGAACAGCGCTTTGACTCTGCGAAGGGGGTTCTGGAAACGTAAAGAGGCATCAAGCAGTTTTCATCCTGACTTAAAGTTGTTAGAAGGAAGAGGTAGTTTGGTAACTAAACCTGAAACCTGCCCTGGCTGCGTGTCAGTGATTGCCCCTCGGGGATGTTTGTCCCGCCGGGATGCTCACCTCATAGGGATGTTTGTCCTGCAGGGATGCTCACCTCATAGGGATGTTTGTCCCGCAGGGATGCTCGCCTCATAGCGATGCTTGCCCTGCAGGGATGCTCACCCTGCGGCGTTTTTGGGGCTGGTCCCAGCGCCCGGATTGAAGCGGGGCCGCGGCCAGCATTGTGCGTGGCGGTGCCTCCCTCTAACGGCTGGCCCTGCAGAGGCTGCCCAGCTCGGACAGCCCAGGGCTGAGGTGACCGTCACCCTCGGGGAGGTCCCACTGCCGCCCGACTCCAGCCAGGCCAGGAGGAGAAGGAGCTTGGGGCGAGGGGGGAGCACTGTGTTGGTGCAAAAGCTTGTGGGAGAGGTTTGTTTCTTGGCTAATTTACTCTGGTTTTTCTGTTATACCGGGGTGGCCAGTGCGAGAGGTCTCACTTCTGAGGGTGCCAGCCCCGAGATGGTGGTTGAAGGCACCAGCGAGGTTCTCCAGGCAGCTCGGGCATCCTCGGACATCAACACCCAAACCCTGTGTCAGGGCACAGCCCCGTGAGCTCTTGCTGATTGTCTCCTGCACAGGGAAAAGACTTGAAGGGGGAGGAAAAAACAGCCCTAAAAACCGGAGTTCCAAGTTTGGCAAAATCTAGAGGTGACAGAAATTAAGCAAATCCCACCCATCCTGCTGGATTTTCCCTCCTCCTAATGCTCTCGTTTTGCTTCATGTAAGTATTTTGGTGCGATGCTCCTTAGAAGATAGGATGTCTCAAAGCCATGTAGATTTTTGTCTCTTCCACTGCAAATTGTCCAGATGGAAACTTCATTTTTCTTTGAATGTATCAGTTTGCATAGCTTAAATAAAAATAGGAAGCAGTTAAAAAGCCCTGGGCATCTGAAAAACCACACTTGTGCTGCAAAGCCCTACAGTTCTCTAACGCAGTTAACTAGGAATCCCCAAATCCTGGCGTTTCCTTCAGTTTCTCATTATATATACATGCAATTTTATATATACACTTGTATAAAAAATATACAGCATCACCTAAGTGAACCCTAAGCAAAGTGGGATGAAGGGGAAAATATTTTCCTCTTCGACTGGTTTATTTAGTCTGGTACCTGTCTGTGTTTTCTTCTTTTAATCCTCAAGTCACAAACAAAAAAGCAGAAAACCAGCAACTTTGTTTTGCAAGTGTTGCAAACTGTGTTACTTAAAATGTGTTTGAAGCAGGTCGGTTAAACCAGCTATGGCCCTTTAAAGAAAATCAGGAAAATAGGAAGAAACATATGTTCTGAGGAATAGTTTAGGTTTATTATGTCATTGCTTAGATTCTTAAGTTAGACTTGCTTGAAAGGAAACTCTTTAGGTGAACGTGTGGGATCAGTTTCATGGTCAGGATTATATATTACATACATTACAAATGTACGCCTAAAGATTATACAAGAAATATTGTAAAAAAAAATTTTAAAATATTTAAAATGCGTTTTTATTTAACGGGTCATTCACAAGATATTATTAGTCATTTAATGCTTCTACTTCAATTCTTGTTAAATTCTTAGTGGGCATCTTCACCAATTTTGGCTTTAGAAATAAGCAAAAAAAATGGGAATATTTTCACAGAACTTACAGGCAAGTTACTTTGCCTTTTACCTGCTTCTCTGCTGTTTCTAATTAGCGTGGGTGTGAAGTTTTTGGATGGCATCTGAAATACACATTTTATTCCTAAAGTGGCATTTCAAATTTGTGCTACCAATTCAATATGAAAATAGCAGCTCTAAAAGATGCCTGTGTATGCATAGATCTCTCTCTATATTTATGTGTGTGGGAAATGTAAAATCCTGAATTGCATCTGCAGGGCAGCGTTCCCAGCGAAATCCTCCATGGCTGGGGTAACCGAGGCCCAAATCCCATCACCCCCCCCACTGCTCCCCATCGCCCCCGGGGTCGCCATCCCCAGGAGGGAGCTGGGGACAGGGAATTGCAGCTGCTGCTGGAATCACCTTTTTATAAATAAAAAAAACGGCCTCAGCAAGCCCTGACACAAGACGCAGTTTATTTTTTGCACTATAACGTGGTAAAAAGACTTGCTGTGCAGTGAGTTAGTATTGATTTTTATTTTTTTGTGTGTGTGTCTGTAGCCTCTTAGCTTTCTGGCTCCATTATTCTTGATTTTACTATGAAATACATATCCCTTCTACTGACATCTGACAAACAACATATGGAAGTCGTTTTATCTACAATAATGTGTTTGTCAAAAAAATCTTAGGCTAATGGGTTGTGCTTCCTCCAGTCCATTTTCCCCAAGTTAATGTCACTGATGTAATTCTAAACATTTAGTGATTTTTGCCCCCTTAACAATTTGTCATTCCCATAGGTTTGCGTAAGATGCTACAACAGGCTGGGAACTGACCGAAGGTTTTGTGAAATAAGAGTTGAGCAACTCATTTGAAATTCAACATATGCAGAAATAGCTCCTGATTTTTCCATTCGTCACATCCATAGAGAATAAACAATGTTTCCCAAATCATTTTTAAGCAACAGGGCAGGTTCTCCTTAGCTGAAGTTCCATCTCTTCCTCTATTTTTCTTGCTTTTCCCATCGCTCGTCGCTGCAGTTCGACACAGAGCTAGGTGAGGAAGATGAACTGGGCTGTAAATGCGAAGAAGCAGAAAACGAAGCAGGCAGCAAAGCAAGGGCTTTGGGGTTAGATGCACGGCATGAACAAGCCAAGAAACCGCCCAGGACCGACAACGGAACAGTTTTATGGGCCAACCCGTTGCTAATCCAGTGTGCCCATGCCCATTCCAGGAGTATTTCTGAGCTGCTGTTAGTTTATTCGCTCACCTGAAGCTCCACTTACTTGTCATTACGAGACCAAAGTGAGTTTTCAGTCCTTCAGCGTTGCAGAAGGATGCCAGTTGCATTCATTTTCTTCTCGTGCAAAAGAGGAGTTACTTTGTGGTGTGTCTGTATATCTTGTGGGATTTAGATTTGGAATTTGGGAAAGAATTTGGGACTTGTGAGTTTCTGAATAACTCTGCAAGCTCTGTTGGTCTGCAAGCACCTTCCCTGCCTTTAAATGGATGTTGGTTTCTTTAGAACAAGAAATGTAATATTTTACACATACATAGTGTACTACAAATAGATAATTACAATTGCTCTTTAATTTAAATTTGTGGTTTATGGAGTGTTCAAAGCACTCTTGTGTGTTCATGAAAGACTGGGTCAGACTTCAGGTACCAGAAAAGAACAGCACTGTTTTATCTTGGCTTGCTTTTTCCTCCTCTCGGTGGCAATCTCCTTTTTCTCTCACCCATGGTCCTGTCTGATCCTGAGCTCACCCTTCAGCCACACGGAGGCATGGGCAGGCACAGTCAAGCTATCCACAGAAGTAATCCATTTACGCCAGTGGTGGTAGCAGGCAGCTGCTCCCTGAACTCTGCCTGGTGCATACACCTGCTTGGACACCAGCCCATCTGCAAAAAACCTTTCTGCAAACAAATTTTACAAAAAAAGGGCAGGAGCTGCTCTTCCTCACTATAAACATTTCGATTCACTTCATCAAAATAAAATATCAGCCTGGGATTCAAAAGTATTTGGTGAAGTGTACGTGTGCTGGAGGCCCTCGCAGTACGATAAAGAAGGAATTTCGCTCGTTTGACTTAATCGCTGCAATTCATAGGAGTGCACAATATTTAGGAAAATTTTACTGCCAGCTCCTAAGGTGTTTTTTTTAAGTTCTCCTCCTGATGTGGTTCTTAATGTCAGACTAATACTTGTCAGGATCTCTCCTCTCAGGAGATCCAAAGCCCAATTCACCTCCGTACACGCAGAAGTAGTTTTACTGCTACGGACAGATGGGACTCCAGTGAGTTGTCCCCGAATCCTTCTCTTCTCTAGGAAAGCCTCGTGCTGTAAATGCAGCAGACATCCTGCAAGGACGTCTCTAGCAAATTCTTAAGTCGACGTCTCGAATGACACCATACGTTGGGCAGCAATGGCCAAGCCGCTGTTGTTATTTTTGCTAAAAGAGTTTTTCTTTGTAACGGAGTATTTTAGGCAACATTGCAAAGTTTTTTTTCTGATACGTACTGTTGTAAAATATTCCAGGCATTGCTTAGACGCGGCATTTATCATAGGCTTACGCTAATGCACACTGACATTACACCTTCTCTTTATAGACCAAGCCACCCTAGTAGAGCAAGTGAAACGAGTGAAAGAAATTGAAGCTATTGAAAGTGACTCCTTTGTTCCCCAGACATTCAGATCAAGTAAAGAAGTCAAAAAGGTAAGTTTTCAATATCCTTTCTTGGTGCATAATCCTTTCAAAGTCAGGTGGAAGCTGCGCTATTAGTACAGTTTCCATTGATGAAAGAGCATCAGTGTTGACAATCTTAAATCTCACCAACGGCTCTCCTGCGTTCTTGGTGTGGTGTTCACAGAAGAATGCATTTAAGTGTGCAAGGATTTCAATGAAATCAGCTGTTTTGACATTCTACCCATGCCAAATGCTTCCAGTCTTTGAAAATTCTTCTAAAACCATACAAAACCACCACAAAAGACTTTTTTTTTTAGGAAAAGCAGAATTCAAATCCAAAAGTTGTCAGACTTCTTCATCATAATTAAAGGAGAAGATCAATATTTTTAATTCTGCTTAACTGGAAGTAGACTTTACGACCATATTTACTCCCTGAAACGAAATGGCATTGTTTTCAGACAGCTTTCCAAAAACTTGAGCTGAGACATCCAGGTTTCAGAACTTCAACTTCGCTTTGACTGCTGAGTCTTGTAGGGAATCCAGACGCTTTTGCCTTTGGAAGGACGCAAGCAGAGATTTTGTTCAGTTTTTCCATCTGACAGCGAGGTGGTTTGAATTATCAGTTCTGTTTCCCCCAGAATGTGCATTTTCTTGCCTTTTCAGAAGTCTCTGAGAGGTTCACGCAGCAAAGTGATCCAAAAACCGCAAAGCTACGGGCCTGCAAGCTCTCTCACTGCCTTTGGCAAAATCTTTTTTGTCATTAAATGTGTGTAGTCCGGACCTTAGTCCGTATCCAGTGCATCCCCCTAAGCCCGCCGAGAAGTATTCGCACGAGGATCCTTTCTTGGGAACGTGAAAGCTGAGCGCTCGGTCAAGGCACTGCCACGTTTGGGAGTTTGAGGATAAAATACTCCGCTGTGTTTGTTTCTTTTCAGTCAGCAGAGCCTCCTGAAGTACCATACGAACCCGTGACTATCGGAGCGGGAAGCACGGACGCATCTGCTCCTGAAAAAGAACCGCCACCTGCCAGTATTCCTACGGCCATCAAATACCAAGATGATAATTCTTTAGCGCATCCTAACGTAAGCGTGCCCCTATTTACTTTCCTTTTAGAATGAGAGGAGGTTCACACGACCTGATGAGCTTTTTGCTGCTCATCAAATGTTCTGTGGCCTCCAGACTGTTTGCTGATGGGCCACTCTCTGCCTCGGAAAGGATCTCACTCCTTGCATCACCCAGCAGAGATTAATTACAAAAGAAGTTCACCAGCAACGTAGTTTTAGAGTTATGAACAAATTTGGTGACAAAGTAACATGCTAATTTAATGCAGGGAATTTAAGATCCTGTTCATATAAAAATTCCAGTTCCAGTAAAAAATTCAGGAAAAATTGCTTTGGGTTTCTGTAGCCGGAAACCTGGAGGAAGACTCAGAACTTGCCCACTTGCCAAATCGTAAAGCTTTAAATATGTGACAGACTTCAGGTGATTTTAAACTGTCGTGGCTAAACTTAACACAAATTCCTTTGTGAGCACTTGTAATCGGAAGTAGGAGTACTTACAGTAGAGTTGTTTTAAGAATTAATGCCTTGCAGTAAATAAACTGAGGTGAGTTCTATATAAGGAACACTGCTAAGAAAGATCAAGACCTGTACAATACAACAAACTGGCTGCTTGAGGAGGAGACCGAAATCGGAATGCCTTTGCTTTGCAATTATCAAAACTCTCGACCTTTACCAACGTGTTTATATCACCGTTGTGTTTTAACACCCCTCTGCAGCCAGGCACTGACACTTCAACAGAGTATAGCAAACGGAGAGAACGTTACTGAGCTGTGCCTGCTTTTCTCCCTCTTCCCCTTGTCTCAGCTGTTCGTGGAGAAGGCAGAAGCAGACGAGAAGTGGTTCCAGAGGCTGATCGCTCTCCGCCAGGAAAGGCTGATGGGCAGCCCCGTGGCCTGAGCGAACCGGTGCCGCCAGCCTGCACCAGTGCTCCACGAATGCTAAGAAATCCTACAATCAAATTGGGTTACTTTTCTTTTCCAAGGGGATTTTAAGACTCAATATGTATTGTACAGAGAGTAAATATTTAATCAGAATAAACAAGGATATTCTCTCCTCCGTTTATTCTCCTGAACTCATTGCTGGGTGACTTGTGTCGCCCAGCTCCCCACTGTAGACAGGCAGGCTGTTGGAGCAGTGTGATTTTTTCTTTCGTACTGAATTCCTCTGGGCTACAAAAAACCTGACGGCCCAAGGAGATGTAACTTTATATCACTCAATCAAAAAAAATATATAGAACCATGTTGGGTAAGACTAATGGCATACCTGTCTCTGTAGTCAGTGAAGCTTCCTTTTGTCTAGTGTGATTTTAAAATAATAAAAATTCATCCTATTTGAACTGATCAAAGCTAGCCCGAGTGTACTTTCCCCCCCCAAAAAAATCTGCCCGTCATCCAACTCAGTCCGGAGATCAACCAAATAAGTCCAAATGTATTTCTTCTGAGGTGTCAAGCAAATCTGTGAGGAAACTATTACTGCAGTAGAGGAGTAAGCTGAGCCCCCCCACCTCTGGGCGTACCTCGCTGAAGTTATCAGCTTTCCTATGTGAGTGAAGAAATTCATGCAGCTTTTTTTTAGTGTTATTTTAACTCATATCTGTGGTGGAAAAAAAAAAAGGAGGATGATTCTGGAAATGTGCTTTGGTCCTTTTACCTTTTTTTTAGATCACTTGATATAAAAGAGGGAAATGTATTAGATTTTGTGTTCTAACACATTTTTACTTTTCCTTTATGGACAGCATTAGTTTTACTTGGACCTGCATTAAAATGGCTTTCTGTGTTTCAAGCCCACCTTGCCTGCAACAAGAAGTGGGAAAAAAAAAGTTTCCTTTGTTTCATTTCAGCATTTTCAAGTGGTAAATATTTGTCTTTGTTCTGTTTTCTAATCTCCTTCTGTGTTTCTTGCATAGGAAATAAAATCTACTTGATCTGCATGTCACGTGCAGGTGTAAATTCCTCTTTTTCACACATTGTGTTGGACTATTTTGGTATTTTTATTGGATGCAAAATGATTTCTTTAATGTAATTCACAACCCTATAGGATATTAAAAATTTCAATAAACTGGTCTAAGTCAATAAGATTAGTGGCAATGATAGGGTGTAACTACTATCGCTTATCAATCGGCAACTAAATTTGTCCAGCAAGTCCGTGCTGGAGGAGAATTGTCAGCAAGATCTGGAAAGAAAACGGAAATAGTGTTTATATAATCTGAACTGGATAGAAATAAGTACTGAAATATGGCAAACATAATTGAAAACCCGGAAGAAACAATCATGAAGTTGATTTTTCTAGTTCCAGTTGCAGATAAGTGATATTAACGAATAAATAATTCCTGAGAGCTCTGTAGTTTTCATGAAACACGTAACTTGTGTGTTGCCGCGGTGTCTGTGTGGGGACAGACCATTTAAGAAGAGGATTTTATTCTGTTTTGGGCCCTAAAATCTCTGTTCCTGCTTTGAACATTCATTGTGCATGCTTGATGTTTAGGAAGTTACTGGTGTTGGGAGGGGAAGGAACTGTGAGGATAGAGTTTTTAACCACCTGTTACAAATTAGAAACCGCACGGTCCCTGTTGTCACCAACCTGTAAGTTCAGGCAGAGCAGATTTCAAGGGTGCCTGCAGCAAGTCGATGGTGCTCACGGGTGTGTCCTGGAGGTGGGAGCTCCCGGGCAGCTGACTGCGACCTCAGCTGCGCCACGGGTCACGTCTTGAAGGTGAGTTTTAATCTTACTGCCACCGATTCCACAGCTTAAACCTTCAGTTGTTCCTCTGCGCTTGCTCCTGTAGAGTTAAAATAAGGGTTGTGCAAGGCCAGTCTTAGGGTCGTAACGTTTAGACTGCAGCACTCTGGATTCAAGTTATGTAGACGATTTCTGTGTTTTGCTTTTCCTTGAACAGCACCTCGTGATAGGTTATTCATTTTCCTGAGTGTCAGAAATGAAATATGGAAGAAGGCAGCAACATCACAACCAACCTTCACTCTGTAACCAGCTCTGCACGGCTAAAGAGAACTTTGACAAACTTATTTTACAAGACTTGGGCACAGTATAAATGGTTGTAGCTGAATACATGCACGCTCCACCATTCCATGCGTGGGGCCTTTTTGCTTGAGGAGAAGATAGCAAGTGTTACCTAATCACCCACACGCAAATTTAATTAATGGTGTCGTAACATGGCCATGAAAGCCATATCAACGCATACAAATTAATCACCACTAGCCTGGGAAAATGCAATGCTGACTCTCAACCCACGCTGCTCCTGTTCCAAAAACTAGTGACACCTTTTGACAATAATCCTGCTCTCCTAGTTTCTTTGCTTCTAAGGTCTTCTGATGTTCTCACATTGAGCATCGAGGACTCTTGCCTACGGAGAGTTTCTTTTTCAGTTGTATTTTCTGCTTTTCGCCATGGTCCCAGTGGAAGAGAATGGATTCCTGATTAAGAAAGGGAAAAAACCGGCCGTTTGTTAGTTGTCCAACTAAAACATAGGACTGACAGCTGTGTTTCACAGTCTGTAGAGACAGCAGTGACACGGTTTTGTCATTCGGGACTCTGGGGCGTCTCTGATTCAATCAGCTCCCACACAAAGTTCCTCCGAAAGCCAAACTACCTTAAATCTGATTCAGGCGTGTAGGAGTGAAAAGATAATGCTGTAACTCGAGCCCTTCAGAGTTCTGGTAGTCAGCAAAGACCTCCACCCCTGGCAATTACATTAGCAAACTCATTTCACTTTGGCTGCTGAACAGCCACCGTCAATTAAAGTCAAACCAGGCTGATTTTGATTTGATAACTTTTAGGTAAAACGTTTGCTGGCCCTTTCTGATTTCTGGAGTCATCCAGCATGTCCGCAGTTATTTTTTTATTACTATAATTGCTTGAAAAGGAGCTGTGCTTAGTTTGAAAATTATTCTTCCTGTTGCAACATTTTAGAAAGATTTTTTTGCTACTAAAATAATGGTACCTAAGAAAACCCTGCCAGCCAGGAGATCGAATTTTGCTCCTTCTGCTTCAGCCGCTCATTGATACGAGCAGGACTGGATGATCCCGAAGGCCGTTTTTCCGTCAGTAACCCAACACCAACCTTCTCGATGATTGCAGTTTTCCATTTGTCAAGTTACAAGAAGGAAGTTATTTTTAGTGGGGATCTTTGAACTCTAGAAACCTGTTTGAGGAGCGATCAGCTCAAACCCATGACTTAGTCCACATATGATACGCGGCTGTGGCGAGTCCTCAGCTTGCAGCAGTAATGAAAAGCGATGCTAGATGTCGAATTTTAAATGTTCACTATTTGTAATTTGGACTTAGTGCAGAATTGCTTGATTTCTTTTTTTTCTGACTGTTGCCTCCTCTCCTTTTGCTAAGACCTGTGAAAAAAGAGTAGCAGTGGCCGGTCTGGATTCTGTGACAGCGGGGAGCAAGACTTAGACACTGAGTTGCTCTGGAATTGCCACTCCTGGGCGAGGTGTGACACGATCCGTCTGCTCCTTCTGGAAGGGAGCAGGAGCTGAAGCTCAGCCCGGGGATGGGAGGAGGGAGCTCAGGGCTAACACCAGCGCTGAGCTGGGCTTTGCCTCCAGCTGGGCTCCCCCGCATCGAGGTGTGCACCTCACAAGCTGGAGGTGCACCACAGAGGTGAAAATGCAAATGGCTATTTGGCTATCGTTTGGTTTCTTCGGAAATAACAATATAGGCTGGGGCTGCAGGGATAGTCAGGATGTGAGAAGCCTTTCAGCCCTCGGGCATCATTTTTGAAGGCACTGTTTTGCAAAGGCTGGAGTTGAAAAGGCGTCATCCCTGCTGAGCCGCCACGGTAAAAATCTCATTCCCACTAGATGTCCCTGCTGTCCCGGAGCAGTTGTCACACCGATCGGTGCCTGGCTAGGAAGGGCACAGCAACGAGATATGCAAAGAACTAAAAAGTTGCCTTTTTACTTCCTAACCAGGGCTGGAGTCAGGGTAACACGGCAGAGCGGTTTGTCTCATAGTTCTGTTTGCCTGACAATCTACTTTTTTTTCCAAAACAGCTCCAAATATTGATTGTCTCTCCCCAGGGGAGCTTATGGGAAGATAAAGGGGACTGATCCCCTCCCTCGTCATGCTGCCTCTGGCTTACCAGTACGGCCAGTTTCTGGGGCTGGCCTGGGGTGGGGACAGGGACCATCGTGGGGACACGGCAGGTCTCCGCGTGTCTGGAGGCAGTGGCTGCGTTCCCACATTAACAGTTCTGAAAGGAAGGCATAAACAAATCTCCTTAATTATAATTAATGGGAACTAAACGCAACAAACGTCTGGAAAAATGTCAAAATGTGGTTTTGGTTATCTTTTCCGTGAATTTCAGAGTCTTTTTTTCTATAAATTAGCAGCAGTCTTATTTCAGTATTCATGCAAGTTACAGAGCCAGGTGACTTTGTGAACTGAATATATATTTAAATAAAATATTAATGGAAATGTTATTACATGTCTACCTCTAGTCGCTTGCAGTAGAACGGTGCTTTTATCTGACACGTGTGAACAATTTTTAACAAACTGCCTTCGCAAAGGATTCTGCGCCGGGCTGACGTTACAGACGGAGCATAATCAGCTTTGTAACAATGCCGCCAAAAGGCCGCTTCCACTGAAAATATGCTTAAGGCTCTGGAAATCGCACTGCGTCGTCAAGCGTACCTGTAAAAGAACTTAACCGTGAGAAGTAAGGGGACCTCATTTATGCCACTACGTTTTAAATTTAAATAGTAACTGCTGATCCTTACAGAACTGACCGGGGATTGCGCGCTGATTGTCTGAGTCCTCTCAAATTACCTTCAACCTTGCTGCTGACATTGCTCGGCAGCACGTGGGACGGCACAGAGCAGAACTGAGCAGAGCCCCAGAATTCTCTGTTACCAGTTGTTGGGTTTCTT